TTTCCCTTATTTTACTTTAAATTCCTTGAAACATCAAAGTTGTACATACTTCATGTATACAATGTGATGACTCTGGAGGTAAGTCTACTCCGTCAATGCCACTAGTGCACCTATCACCTTCAAGTTCTCTCCCACCTTCTCTATTATTTTTTTGGTAGGAACACGTAAGATCTACCCTGTTAGCAAAATTGTATTTATACAATATAGTACTCTTAACTGTAAGCACTATGGTATATAGATCTCTTACTATTCATCTTGCATAACCGAAACTTCCTTTTTTGAAAGGTGTCTATTCCTATCTTGTGTTAATACTTATGACTGGATTTTCTTCACATCATATGCCAGAGCGTTTGACCTTTAGTCTTAAACACCTCTTTACACTCTTACAAATTACTGAGGACCCCAAAGAGCTTCAACATTTTATTTTTATTAAAATAGTTCGTATACAGTACTATATTGGTTTGAGGTGTACAACACAGTGATTCGACATTTATTTACCCTGTGATCGCCACTGGAAATCTAGTAACATGCCACTGGTCACCATTGCGATGGCGTCACCACCCGTCATGTGATCACCAGAAAAAACTACATTAGTGAGCAAATGAGAGTAGAAAAGGTAAATAACAGCTACTTTTAGAAAAATAGTGGCTTTTTATGTGAGAGAATTATTGATGTGAGAGAATCATTGATCAGCTGCCTCCTTCACGACCCCCGCTGGGGAGCAAGCCCGCAACCCCTGCATGTGCCCTTCACCGGAACCCAACCGATGCCCTACCCAGTGGTTCTCAACCTATGGGTCCCGACCCCTTTTGGTGGTCAAACGACCCTTTCACAGGGGTCGCCTAAGACCATCCTGCATAGCAGATATTTACATTATGATTCACACCAGTAGCAACATTACAGTTATGAAGTAGCAAGGAAAAAAATTTTATGGTTGGGTCACAACATGAACTGTATTTAAAGGGCCAGAAGGTTGAGAACCACTGCCACTGACCCAAACCGGCGAGGGCTAGGAAAATAGTTTTGACGTTAGCAAACACCGCACTCTCCTCCACTTTGAGAACCGTGGTGGTTCGCTGCAAGTCTTCGTCTCCCCTTACAGACAGTGCCTCTCCATTCGCCCAGGACCGCCAGCAGGGATCAGGGAGCCGGAACCGCCGCCACCGGAAACACGCAGCATCCAAACCTCTAGGCCCGCGGGGCTCCCAGAAGCCGGCGCTGCGCACGCACGCAGGGCGGGCCCCGCGTTCCCAGCCCCGGGCCT